ATATTTTTATTTTTTATTATTAAAATTATTAATTTTATAAAAATAACAATAAGAAAATAAATAAATAAAATTAATTATAATATAATAATTACACCCTCATTTTTATTTTTTAACAAAGAAAAAATTATATTATTTTTAAATAAAAAAATTAATCATTTTGTCTAATTAGCCAATTTTGTTTATTAAGATAATTTATTTTTTTATAATAGATTAATGTAAAAAAATAAAAATATAATAATCGCTTAATGTTGTTAAAAGTAAAAAAATAAAATTGAAACTTATTAAATAAATATTAATTAAAAACTGTAGCTAAAAATTAAAAAATTAAAATGGATAATTTTGTCAATAAAATTAAAAAATTCTAATTCATTAATAGTTTGATACAAAAATCCGTTAGCAATTTAAACTCTAACCCTTATCCATTAGTTATAACCACTAAATAAAAACTTTTACTAAATATCTTATTTATAGTGATTTTAAAATATATAAATTTACCAAATATTTCTTCTTAACGATTTAAACAAAACTACTAATTACTATCCCAAACCCGTTATATCAAGTAGACCACTAAGATAAAATCAATTGGGAACAATAAAGTAGTTTTTCTTATATTTAACCCATAGTCTTCTTTTTTTTATTATATTTTTAATGTGGGCTCAAAACTATTAAACAATTACTTCTATGTAATGTAAAATTAATTTTACCCATTGATTTATATTCAAATTGAACCTCACTCTGTAATCTTAAACTTGAAAATTACCGTCAAATCAGCAAAAACTCAAAGTTAAACAATCAAGAAAAAATTGGATTCACTTAATAAGCAGCTACATACAATATATATGATCATTATCACTCTTCATCTCCCCCTCAATAATGCCTTCTCTGCAGTATCCATTTCTTCAAGAATCCTAGCCTTCCTCTTGGCTGGGAGAGGAGCAGTCGGTCCAAAGCTAATATAATGCCCGGAAACAGCATTCAATGCCGAGTATATATCCCTGAAAGAAGCCCTTCCCAGCAAAGCCTTCTCCCTCCTGTACTTTGCAACCCAAGAATTGGACGTCTGTCTAAGGTCAGCCACCGCTGCTGCCACGTTGGGATCGTTTTTGTCCATGTTTATGGTGCTTCTTACTTTGTTGATCACGTCCTCCGTCTCCTTCACGTACTCCTCGTCGGAAGCAGCAAATGCCGGGGTCACTGCTAGTAGGGAGGTGAGAGATAGAGCTGTGGCGGTGGCGGTGGTTGTGGAGAGACACAGAAATTGGCGGCGTAGAATTGGCTCCTGTGGTGGTTGATGTGATGGGATGGCGGCAGAGGCGGGTTTGGGTTTGAAGGGAGGCAGGAGAGGTGTGAATTTGGAGGATGGGGTTAGAAGTGTTGGGGAGGCCATGGTTTTTGGGTGAAAGGGGAAGGAAGATGTGGAAGCGCGTTCTTGTTTGAGGTTTGGGAGGGTAGGAAAGGGGAAGTGTGTTAATGCCACGTGGGCTTATCACCTTATCTAAGTTTTGGTTATATGGATGAGATAAGAGCCAATGAGATCTTAGATATAGATTCACCTATGTTCAGCCACACAGAATTAAGGTTCCCATTAATTGTGTAGGAGAGCTTTTTCTAATAAGTAAATTATCCAAATTCACCGTCAAAGTATAGTATTAGGGATGGATCCACCCCGAACAAAACATGAATCCACCTTGAACAAAACACGGGAATAAATCTACCCACAATGTTTTTTATTTTAATAAATCATCTCAAATTTAACATATGATGTCATCTAACATCAACAATTTATTAATTTGTTATGTTGCTAACAATAAATTGTTGGCGTCAAATGATATCAAATTAACAAATTTTTAACATCAAATGACATTACACGTTAAATTTAAAATAATTTGTTTAAATTAAAAACTTTATAAGTAAATTTATCTTTATTTTTTGTTTAAAAATAGACCCATCCTGTTACCATACTTTGAGGGTGAATTTGGATGCTGTGCCTTTCTAATGAGGGGGACCGAAAGTGGAAGACTCAATATGGAAGGTTCAAGGGTTTGAACTATTAATTGGTGTTATAGAAATTAATTATTGTAGAAACGCCAATTAGATGTTTAGTAAGGGCTTAAGGACAAATGGCGATTAATATATGTTCTGTTGAGAAGAGCATTACTACATATTACTCTCTCCATTTAATAATAGTAGTCCTAATTTGATTTTTTTAATTTTTAAAATAAAAAGTTTAAATAAAAATTTAATATAAAGGATAAATAATAATTGAAAAATTTTTTAGATTAAATAAATTACTAAATAATACTTTTTCCATTTCAGAATAATAGATATTTTTGTATTTGGAATTTGTTCTAAAATAATAGTTATTTTTTTATATTTTAAAGGAGATAAAAAAAATTTTCATTATTTTAATCTCATGATTATCTTTTAATTTTGATTATCTATCTTAAACATCTCTTCATTTTTATTTTTTTAGGATAAAATAGATAAAAATAAAAATTATTTTTAAATTCTTAATTCCAAAATAAAAGCAAACAAATCTATTATTGTAGGATAAAGGGAATAACTACTATATATAAGAAAAATAACAATAATTGAAAGTTTTTTTTGAATCACATAAAACAACTAAATAAGAATTATTTATAGCTAACATGAAGTTTTTTGTAATTTTATATAATAAATAAATTATAATTGCAAAATTTTTTTGATTTAAATGAAAATACCCAATATGAATTACATATAGAAGAAATAAAAAAAAAATTTAATTGTCATCTATTTATTATATAAAATTATTTGATTAAACTTTATCTAAAGTCTAAATCTAACCAATAAGAGTATTATACTCCTTTCATCTCAAAATAACAGATTTTTTTAATTTAATATTTGTTTTAAAATAATAATCATTTTTTCATATTGAGAGGAAAACAATTTTTTTTTCCTTCTTTAACATTATAGTTATATCTTAATTTTAATTATGCATTCTATTATAAAACAAATTATTTATTTTTTAAAAAATAAAATAAAATAAATAAAAATAAAAATTATTTTTAAATTAAGATAAAAGCATAAAAAAATTATCTTTGAGCTGTTTGGTGCAGCTTGTGAGAAGGATTTCTTCGCTTCAAAAACACAAGCTGCACCAAACATTACAATTAGTGAAAAATACTATAATTTCTCAAAAATTAACATTTTTTTTCATTTCATTATAAATTTTAGAAGCACTGAATTAGTACTTCCATGGGAGTTTTTCATTTGAGTTTTAATGAAATTAACACATTATTTCTATTTTATCCCTATTTTTTTTATTAACAAAAATAATACTTTTACAATAATTTTTTTTCAACAAAATTTTTATTGAAAATTCCAATTACACCAATCGGGTAGAAAACTTTTAGCCAACTTTTTTTTGCCTTAAAAAGTTTAAAAATCAAACTAATGCTACTATCGTCAAATGCAATATATAACTAGCTCGAGCCCAGACCAGATAGCATGGGATTGGACGGGAAATGGGCCACTGTACCCAGAAAATTGGCCAAGTGGGATATTTTCAAACGAACTTAATGGGCTCAAAGATGGCCTTGATCAATAGACTTTTTCGGTCACTTCACTCATTTGATATAAAGCTCCCACTGTTGTTGTAGTTGTTCTCTTTTTTTTATCTTTTTTTTTTCTTACACTTTTCTATCCATATGAGTTTGCAGACACGATTTGAATTTGGGCCCCCCTACTTCTAACAAAAAATAAATCAACAAATTCTCAAGCTATAAAATCATTTGTTCCTTATTCAAATATGTCATGGATAATGGAGTTAGAGAAATCTTTATTCAACATGTTGGGGTAGCAAGGAATCAAAAAGGGTGTTTGGTGGTCTGGTTTGCGGTAGTCTGGTCAATCTGGTTAGCAAGGAATGGTGTGGTTTTTAATGAAGGCCAGATTACAGTGGAAAGTGTTTTTCAGCTAATCCAAAGTTGATCCTTTTTCTGGGTATTAGTGGTTTATTAGAGGGCTGGCTTTCCTCATTCACTGATTGGTGCAATAACCCTAAAAGGTGCTTGATTTCCAAATTAGCAAAATAGCAGTACAATAGTGGTCTATATATTGAGAACCCTTGTACTCTTTCAATAAAAGTTTTGGTTTTGTAAACAAAGCATAGACATCAAAAGGGAGAAAGAATTCATGCTTAAATTAGTTATTTTAAATATTGAGATGAGCTTGATAAAAGCTTAATCCTTTGCTTAATTAGTGGCCTTCTATGTACAAATATATATATATATATATGTATATGTATACTCTATATACATATATATGACTAAGAATCTATTTATATATAAGTGTTACACACTATACTTATATTAAATCTCAAACATTTATTTTTTTACTTTTAATAATCGAGATTATTTACATTTATTAAGAATAATTATTTTTTTCACTAAAAAGGTTGTGACAAAATCTTATGTAAGAAGGAAAATTTAGTCCCTTCTTTTTCTATTGTTTAATTCTAATTTAATTAAGGATATGATGTTTTTATGAATACAAGTTATAATTCAAATTGTATTCTTTTTTTTTTAATATATAGTTATGGTGTTGCTGATTCAGTTTTCATGCATTACAAGTTTAATTTCTCTTTAGATTATCTTAAGGGTGCACTCCTATATCAACTTAGTACATTCAATGAAATTTATTTTCTTATGTTTTGATTCTAAAACTTGAATCCTGTACTTGATTTACAAAGGACATTTACTTACAAGTGGTTTGAACCATTGGGGTTATATTATATTTGGATTCATGTGTTATAGTACAAACTATACATTAAAACTACAATTCATTATATGAATTTACTAAAACAATCTTAAAAAATAACATAAAAAATATTTTCATTAATGATATTTTAATAAATTCATAAAATAAATTGTATTTTTAATGCACAATTAGCTTGTAAAATATATTTTTTATTTTATTTTTATACATATGAACTAATAAGTACAGTAGTATTTTATAGGTGCAGTCCAAGTTAATTAACCACCAAAATAAATTACAGATTAAATGAAACTAATATAAAACAAAACTACCGTGTACAAACAAGAGGATTCAAACGTAAAACGTAAGAGCAGCATATAAGATTTCAGCAGAATATCCAAATTCACCTCAATATACAGTGGCAGGAATAGATTCACCTATAAACAAAAAAATAAAGACAAATTCACTCATGGTTAGTTTGGGAACATGAATTTGGTGAAATATATTTGAATTTCAACCTTTTAAATTCAATATTACTGTTTGTTTTTACTTAAATAAAAAATAATTGAATTTTAAAAAAATACATGTATTTCACCTACGTAATTCAAAAGGCTAAAACTCGTGTATTTCAATTTCACCCTCAAACCCATAAATTTTGATTTCAAATTGAATTTTCTCTGCACTATCTTCTCTCACCGACGACGATGAAACCTCCATTGTCCGTCCATCTTCTCCTCTACCATTGCTCTCCACCTTCTCATCGTCGGTCACTCACCACTCCGCCAGGATAGAGAAGGAAGGACGATGTGGTCGGTACATCACGTAGAGGACTATGTTGGCGATGGAAGCGAGGAAGGCAAGGATGAGGAGAATCAAAATGGACCAGAAGCAACATTGACAGCAAAGGTTGCGCTGGGAGCGGTAGTGGTGGCGGCGATTGTAGGGAGGAGGGCGGTAGGGAGGCCGGGAGGTGGGATTATAGAGATTGGACTTGGTGGGTCCATTGTTGGTGGTTGCAGTTGTGGTTCCAACACCATTCATGGCGGCGGCGGCGGCGGTGTTGGTAGGTTTGGTGGAGGGGAAAACTTTGTTCGTCATTATAATCGGAAAACCAAAAAAAAAAAAAAAAAGAAAGGGTTCAGATTTGCAAGGCAGTGGCTGCTGGAAGAGTGAGATTTGAAGACAGAAAAATGAGGAGTAGATTTGGCCACCTCACTAGAATTGACAAATCTCTTATACTTCTAATTCTACTCTGTAAAAATTTAATGGAGGAAAAAATATTTTATACTTAAGAATGTTTTAAGTTTGTATAATTTTAACTAATTAATAAAATAGGCTTTTTTTCGTATTTAATAATTTTTATTTTATAATTTAATAAAATTTAAATTATAAAATTAAAAAAGTTATTTTTTTAAAACAAAACAAAATAAAGACAATTAAGGGATAATTAT